TCCTGTACACCCACCAGTTGCATAGTGCTCCTGGCAGTATGGGTTTACTTCTGGGGTGTGAAGTTTTCAGTTGCACATATGCCTGGGGACCATTCAGGCTTGTTCGTATTTGTGTTGCTCACGTGGCTCCCATAAATAAGGCGATTTGATAAAATAACTATGCCCAAGATTACCATCAGAGCGCCGTCGAGATGATGGGCAAATAGCCTTGGCGACCAACATCTTTTCTACAGTCATGATGATCGAATGGTTAAGGTCTCCTGTAAACCAATAGCATAGTGCTCCTGGAAGTATGGGTTCGAGTCGCTTGTTATGGACTTTCAGTTGCCTATATACCTATATGCCTATATACCAGGGGACCATTCAGGCCCGTTCGCATTTGTGTTGCTCACATGGTCCAAAAAAATGAGGTGATTTGATAAAATAACTAAGCCCAAGATCAGAGCACCCTCTGGATGATTGGCAAATAGCCTTGGCTTCCATCATATTTTATACAGTTTTGATGGTCGAGTGGTTAAGGTCACCTGTACACCAGTTGCATAGTGCCCCTGGCCGTATGGGTTCGAGTCAATTCTGGTGCGTAGAGTTTTCAGTTGTATATATGCTTGAGAACCATTCAAGCTCGTTCGCATTTGTGATGTTCGCATGGTCCCAAAAAATGAGGTGATTTGCTAAAATAACTATGCCCAAGATTACCATCAGAGCGCCATTGGGATGATGGGCAAATAGCGATGGCTACCAACATCTTTTATGCGGTTGTGATGGTCGAGTGGTTAAGGGCTCCTGTACACCAGTTACATAGTGTGATGGTCGAGTAGTTAAGTTCTCCTGCTCGTGGCAGTATGGGTTCGAGTCACTTCTGGGGTGTGGAGTTTTCAGTTGCATATATGCCTGGGGACCATACAGGCTTGTTTGCATTTGTGTTCCTCACTTGGCCCCGAAAAATGAGGTGATTTGATAAAATAACTATGCCCAAGATTACTATCAGAGTGCCGTCAGGATGATGGACAAATGTCCTTGGCTACCATCATCTTTTGATCGGATGTGATGGTCGAGTGGTTAAGGTCTCCTATACAACAGTTGCATAGTGCTCCTGGCCATTCAGGCTTGTATATATATATATATATATATATATATATATATATATATATATATATATATATATATATATATATATATATATATATATATATATATATATATATATATATATATATATATATATATATGTCGTACCTAGTAGCCAGAATGCACTTCTTAGCCTACTATGCAAGGCCCGATTTGCCTAATAAGCCAAGTTTTCATGAATTAATTGTTTTTCGACTATCTAACCTACCTAACCTAACCTAACCTACCTTTTTCGGCTACCTAACCTAACCTAACCTATAAAGATAGGTTAGGTTAGGTTAGGTAGGGTTGGTTAGGTTCGGTCATATATCTACGTTAATTTTAACTCCTATAAAAAGAAATTGACCTCATACATAATGAAATGGGGAGCTTTATCATTTCATAAGAAAAAAATTAGAGAAAATACATTAATTCAGGAAAACTTGGCTTATTAGGCAAATCGGGCCTTGCATTGTAGCTGAGAAGTGCGTTCTGGCTATTAGGTACGACATATATATATATATATATATATATATATATATATATATATGTCGTACCTAGTAGCCAGAACTCACTTCTGAGCCTACTATGCAAGGCCCGATTTGCCTAATAAGCCAAGTTTTCATGAATTAATTGCTTTTCGACTACCTAACCTACCTAACCTAACCTAACCTAACTTTTTCGGCTACCTAACCTAACCTAACCTATAAAGATAGGTTAGGTTAGGTTAGGTACGGTTGGTTAGGTTCAGTCATATATCTACGTTAATTTTAACTCCAATAAAAAAATATTGACCTCTTACATAAGGAAATGGGTTGCTTTATCATTTCATAAGAAAAAAATTAGAGAAAATATATTAATTCATGAAAACTTGGCTTATTAGGCAAATCGGGCATATATATATATATATATATATATATATATATATATATATGTCGTACCTAATAGCCAGAACGCACTTCTCAGCCTACTATTCTGGCCCGATTTGCCTAATAAGCCAAGTTTTCATGAATTAATTGTTTTTCGTCTACCTAACCTACCTAACCTAACCTAACCTAGCTTTTTTTGGCTACCTAACCTAACTTTACCTATAAATATAGGTTAGGTTAGGTTAGGTAGGGTTGGTTAGGTTCGGTCATATATCTACGTTAATTTTAACTCCAATAAAAAAAAATTGACCTCATACATAGAGAAAAGGGTAGCTTTATCATTTCATAAGAAAAAAATTATAGAAAATATATTAATTCAGGAAAACTTGGCTTATTAGGCAAATCGGGCCTTGAATAGTAGGCTGAGAAGTGAGTTCTGGCTACTAGGTACGACATATATATATATATATATATATATATATATATATATATATATATATATATATATATATATATATATATATATATATATATATATATATATATATATATATATATATATATATATATATATATATATATATATATATATATATATATATATATAAAATAAAATCTTTAAGTTTCAAGCATGGGTTGGACATCTTTATGAGTGGGATTGGGTGGTTATAGATAGGAGCTGCCTCGTATGGGCCAATAGGCCTTCTGCAGTTACCTTGTTCTTATGTTCTTAAGTTGGACTAAGACATGGCTATTTCAAAGGAAACAGAGAGTTAGTATAAATGGGGTTAAGTCAGAGTGGGAAAATGTTGTAAGTGGAGTGCCTCAGGGCTCTGTCCCGGGACCTCTGTTGTTTATAATATATATAAATGATTTAGACTCAGGTTTGAGTAGCAACATCTGCAAATTTGCTGATGATTCAAAAATCGCCAGGGAAATTAACATGGAAGAGAACTCACTATTACTTGAAGTTGATCTAAATAGGGTTTTGAAATGGTCAAAGGATTGGCAGATGCAGTTTAATGCTGATAAATGTAAAGTTTTGAGGCTAGGTAATGATGATAGATTTACACGATAGGAGCTAGTTGGTGTTGTCGGAAAATCCGACTCCATTTGATAATATCAGGCAGATAATATTGCTGCTGTGTTGTATAAACAAGTTACCCATAGAAAACGTAACTTGTAGTGGAATTACCGTCTATAGAAAACGGGATATCATCACCACATACTATTATAAATTCACCACCTATTATGGTGGGAATTATTCTTAAATACATTAGTCTTTGGACTTTACCATCATAAAAACATCTCATATAAATTAACTTAATTATCAGAATTAAAGTAGAGTAAATGTGACCCTTCTATCACTTTCTGTCATCTGGACAATGTAGGCCAGTAGCGTGAGGGTGGGGGAGTGGGCAGCCATTGTTTGTATTGAGACCAGAGGCGCAAGGGAGCAAATTGGGCTTCTGTTAATTTTACTTGGACGAAGTGTTATGGAAACCAAAGGTGTACCATCATCAACACGCTGTCAACAAATTCAAGTTAAGTGTTCTACCGAAAACCATTTTTCTATCATTAGTGGCCATTAATGTCAGTGGATATGGGGTGAGCGGTTAGAGCATAAGATCGCCTCAAACTAAAGGTAATTAAGCCAGGTCTTTAAGGTTCCTTGTACAGTGTTTTCTCTGATATAGCTGTCATATAATAGGATTCTGGCTTCTTAGCTAGCGCCCTTTTGACAGGTCAAGACGAGGAAGCATGCTTTGTGCATCAGTTACCAGGGTGATGGAAGCTACCTCAAAGAGGGAAAATGTGGTGTCTACATCCTGGTTATACCTGGTGGACTAAGGCCTGTTGTACAAATAAGATAAGGAACCTCTTCAATGCATGTAGTCTAATACAGTAGTTTGATTGGCTGCATATATATAAATTAAATTAATATAAACCCCGCTAATGTGTAGAGGATCGATTTGTGACATTATGAGATTATTGCAGAAATACAGTCCACTTATCATTATACAAATTGCTATCGAAGTATATAAATTAACATAAATATAAATTCATATAAATTAAATAAATATAAATCTCACAGGTCGGTTCCCACAGGTGTTGAGATTGCGAAGTCGAACTGCGAAAGGAATCTGGGAGTTATGATAAGTAAGAATTTAAAACAAAAGGATTAATGCATGAATGTTCGTAATAAGGCAAATAGGACACTGGGATTTATTAATCGAAGCGTTAGTAACAAGACACCTGGTGTGGTTCTTCAGTTATATCTTACTCTGGTTAGGCTCCACTTAGATTATGCAGTTCAGTTTTGGTCGCCGTACTATAGAATAGATATAAATTCACTTGAACGTGTCCAGCGTAGGATGACTAAGTTAATTCCCCAAATTAGAAACCTTTCATATGAAGAAAGATTAACAAAGCTTAAATTGCATTCACTGGAAAGGCGAAGAGTTAGGGGTGACATGAAAGAGGTTTACAAGTGGATGAATGGACATAACAAAGGAGATATTAATAGGATATTAAAAGTATCAACACAAGACAGAACACGAAACAATGGGTATAAATTGGATAAGTTTAGATTTAGGAAAGACTCGGGTAAATACTGGTTAGGTAACAGGGTTGTTGATTTGTGGAACCAATTACCGTGTAACGTGGTGGAGGTGGGGTCCCTCGATTGTTTCAAGCGCGGGTTCGAGAAGTATATGAGTGGGATTGGGGGGTTATAGATAGGAACTGCCTCGTATGGGCCAATAGGCCTTCTGCAGTTACCTTTGTTCTTATGTTCTTATGTAAAACTGATTACTTTTCAATTGAATCTGCTTTAATATAGATTACAAAACCATGTAATTTGAACATTAGCACTGATTTATAATTTAGATCCGTTTTTGACTGATCAGTTAAAGGGCGATTTG